TTTATTTATTTATATATATATGTATATAAAACTTTTTATATAAAAAAAAAAATTCGAACAGATCTGAAGCCTGTTCAAGCTGATCCGTGTAGGGCTCAAAATCAGCTAAAAAAATCGATCCAAAATTTTGGCTCATAGCTCAACTCGTTTATTTTGATTAGATCTCGATCCGAGCCAAAGTTTGATTCAATTTTTAAGAGATTAACGATCTTCGAGCTAAATTCACAGCCCTACCTAGAACAACATGGAAAATAAATAAAGTATAGCAAAAATTAGAAAAGATGAAATGATACATATCTACATGCAAAGTCTGTAGAATTGTAGTGAAATCCATGATGAAAATGTAATATGCTACCATCTACCGATTTATAAATTTTCACAAGGTAAATTAAGCACAAATCTACCTAAGCGTTGTGATAGAGAAGATTATAAGATAAGTAATCACCACCAAATGCATACTTCATTGTCTAAAAAATTACAAAGGAAAATAGGCAAAGAGCAAAAGGAAACTACAAGTTACACCCAAAATCCTACTTGTTAAGGTGAAAAACATAAAACACCACCAAATCAAGTGATAATCATGCAATCATATAAACAAGATGAAATTAATCAAATATAAAGCACAATCACAACATATAATTACTAACAACATGTTACCAAGAACTAGATGAAATGAGCCAATTAAACAAAAAGGTTTTTAAATCAAACTATAATTAATGTATTAACATTCAAAACTATAATAACTAAAACATAAAAGCTAAATAGCATGTGAGAAAGAGGAAGAGGGATGGGAAGATGTGCAAATAAGAAGAGGGAAATCATAAAATGTTTGCCATCAACTGAAGCAAATGCAGCCGCCGCTCCATCACAGCTTGCTTTGATGATGAGGAGTCATCCTCACCAAACAAATAACAAGTGAAAGAACTTTGCTTTATGAGAAGCTCCTCTAGAAATGGTTAATATTTGCACCACTTCCTTCTTCTCCTTCTCATATCAAGAGTTTAACGAGTTTAATCTAAGCATTGTCTGCAATCATATCCAAATGCTTTAGTATTCACTTTATCAGTCCTTACTCATTTACTTATTCTTAAGTGTCAAATGAATCCTTAACTCTATTTTTATTGGGTATTTTTCACATCTACTTCTGTTATCAAATATTACTTATGAGACAATTTTCCATAGCAACCAAGCATGAATATGTAAAATGGAAGTACTGCACATGCAAATGATTATAATAATACGAAGAATAGATAAGGTACAAAGAAAAAAATGAAATAATATACATCAACATTGCAAAATCAATAGATCTGTGATTCATATCATGATGAAGCATCGTCTCTTCCACCGATCTATAGATTTTCGCAAAGTAAACTAAGCGTAAACTTGACTAATATGTAAGCACCAAGATAGGGAAGAGTATCGTCGTTGTAAAGCTTCTCCGGCGCCAGCAAACAGCTTCGTTTGCCCCTTAGGGGGCTTCAATCAGATAAGAGATTAGTGCCGGTGTCATTTCGCGAAATCTGGACATCGGCCGGATAGGCTGAGGCCGAACGGCTGCACTATCTCCTGGAAGTGTCACCCCCTAGGGTTTGAGAAAACGAGCGTATATATTGTACTGAGAAGCGGTAAAATTACATGATGGTGAATGGCGGTTGGGCCGCCTTAGGAATCATTTTAGCAAATCGGGATTTAATAAATGCAATCAACCTCAGGATTTGGGGCTTCAAAAATGATTAAGCAGCTTGTTCCTCAAATAAATAAGTGAATGGAGTGTCAATAATTTTTTGAGAGTGGTTAGGAAATGAGCAGCTGAATAAAAATAAAGATTTGTTAATTCCTATTTAATTTATTTGGGCTCAAAGTAATTAAATAATAATATTTATTTATATGTATTTAAAAAATATTATTTTTAAAAAAAAAATCAAGGGCTATTTCGATGGGCCCCATGTTTTTTTCTAAAACAAAAAATAAATAAAAAGGTTGTGGTCAACGGACGAGATCTGAATGTGTTGTCCGTATGTAATAATTTCTCCACTAACGCCTAGAACTACAAATTTTATAACTATATAACCCTTAATTTTTTAAAATAAAAAAAAATATTATTTTTTAAATACATATAAATAAATATTATTATTTAATTACTTTGAGCTCAAACAAATTAAAGATGAATTAACAAATCTTTATTTTTATTCGGCTGTTCATTTCTAAACCAATCTCAAAAAAATATTGATATTCGATTCACTTATTTATTTGAGGAACAAGCTACTTAATCATTTTTTAACAAAAAATAATTTTTTTGGGAGCCCCAAATCCTGAGGTTGATAATAGCATCTCTTATATGTGAATAGTTTTTTTGTAAGTGTGAGTTTGCCTTGTTGTATGGTGTTGGGAGATAAATATATAAATAAATATATATTAGGTGGTATGTCTGCAAATGTTCCTGCAGTAGTCCTGCGTACAATGCAGTTAGTCCCAAATCCGGCCGTTGAAAACTAGCTAAACGGAGAAGCTTCATAAATTCTTGGAAAAGTGGCCTTGCTGTAAAGAGATTTGTAAATAATTAAATAATTTTTGTTTGTTTAATTAGTTTAAGGCTCTATTTGGTGCAGCTGCGTTGCTTAAGGAAGTTGCTGTGGGGAAACTGACTAGTTATTTGTTGCAGTTGTGTGAAAATAACTGTGGGGTAGCTGTTTCTAAAAAAAATGTCAATTCTACCCCTCTTTAGTTAAATTATTTGAAACAGAATGATGACAACCTTATATATGATACAACAAAAGCAGAAATACATTTTACATCAAAACCATCCATCAAACCAATCCTCCAATACTTATAATCCCTTAATATTAAGAATCTCCAACGATGGAAATAAATAAATCTTTTCATTCCAATGAAATTTACAATCAAGCACCCGTTCCGTTCAGACTGATGCACTCCAGATTGGAGATCAAATCTGCATTGTATAACCATTTTGCAGAGCTTACACCCTTGTATGAAAAATATGGACCAAGTCTTTAGATTTTTGTATGGTTTAAGATTTTCAAGCACAATCACATCTAATTCAGAATTGACAATGTTCCGTAGGCTTCCAAATAACTTGGAACATTTGCATCAAAACCATCCAATTCCTATGTTTTTACATATATCACACCTAAACTTCAATTTATACCTTTATACCACCCAAATCTTTCATTTATACCACCCATAAGAGAATAAATTTTCTTGGAAGATCTATGATATAATGACTTCCATTATGCCCGTATGCATTTGTTCATGAACAAATCATTCCAGAAGCACAAAACTTCTCTAAATTGCCCCTTCCCCCTACACTTCATTGTTCACGAGTACTTGATCTTCAAACACTCCTCTTGAGTACAAGAGATGTAAAGTTTGCAGGCACTGACACCTATTTTGTCACATCTATAACAAGAGGCAACTAATATTCTCACAATGATCAATCAAATAGACAGATAATTTCAGATGGATACTGTCACATGACCTTACAAATATAAACATGATAGAGGAGGAATTATCAGTTCATAACCAAACCATAGTACATACGTTCCTAGAACACATTCAAATAAAAATTCAAGTAAAATCAATTATGATTTAAATAAAATTCAAACAAGAATCGAATATAATCCGACCACAAATATGATTCAATCCTTATTCAAACAATACTTACCAGCCTTCAAATTTGACACTCAAGATTCAAACATATTTCAAATCGGAGTAAAATTTCAAATATATTGGTATATTGGCATTTTTTTTTTTTTTTTTTAATTTTGATATATAAAGAAAAATTCCCCATAAAATTTGCCCCACATTACAAAACCATAAAACAGTAAAAGCAAATTCCATTGAGGATTTTATGCCGATACAAAAAAAAAATTGTCTGAAATTAAGAAAGAAGAGCAGCTCAGCTCAACCATTCAAACTACCATTAAACTCCCTTAAACCCCCAAAATTGTGGATATCCCGGCATGCCTTTCTCCGCACGTAGAGGCAGCTCAACTCCATCTATAATTCATCTTGCATAATACAAACAGGGATGAGTTCGTTATTAGATTCAAGCACAAATTGATTCGATTCTTAAGATAATTTTAGAAATAAGAAAATTGATTAAAAATTTTGACATAGTTTGAGCAACGATGAACCAGGAGGCAATTAATATTCTCACAAGGATCGCAGGAATGCTGAAACAACGAAAGAGGAGGAGAACGATGAACCAGGATGCAGGAATCGGTATCGCAGAACCAGGATCGCAGCCGAACGAAAGGAAGGCAGAATGAGGGCACCTGGGTAAAATGCGGAAGGAGCGAAGCGGGGCCGGAAGGGGGGCGGTGGGAGCGAAGCGGGGCCGCGGGAGCGAAGCGGAGCCGCGGGGTCAATCATGCGGCCCGCGTTTCGCTCAAATTCGCGGCCGCCGCAGATGAAAAGCCGCGCCAAACGAGCCTTTTCTGCGGCCTCCTGCCGCACTGTGCAGAGAAAGCCTCGCCAAATGGGCCCTAAATTTGAAGAGGTTTGTTCCATAGTGAAATGAGTCGAACACGAGCCAATTTGAGCAAATAAATTTTGATTGAGCTAAATAGGAATAAGTTATTAACGAGTCATTTCAAACACGAGCTGAACACGCTCAATAAAAAATTCAAATGAGCTGAACACAAACAAGTAGGGTTGTAATCAAGCTGAGTCGAGTCTAGTATGTCATAGTTCGGACTTGGCAAAATTATAAGTTGTTTATGTTAGGTTTGAGCTTGCGCCGAGCTTTTATATATTCTTCAAGCTTGACTTGTTTAAATTTTTCAATATTTGGACTTAATTTGTATTTTATTTGTTTATGACAAGTGAACGAGTATTTAAACGAGCTAAAATTCAAACGAGTATCTAGATTTTTATACAAAAAATTCAGTAAATAATTTTACAAATTTGATTGCACTTATTAATTTATTAATTAGAAACTCTAAACCCTACAATATCTTAAATCTAATTTCTCCTCCATTTTGCCCTAAATTCCTCACTTAGGAGATGTTTAGTAAAATAATTTGTAGCATTTAAGCATGATTTAACCTAAATCCTTACAAACAACTAAAAATGCCAACTTTAAAACCTACAGAAACTTAATATCAAGTATTCATATATCATATATGATAAGACCTATCATTGAGCTATCAATAAATGAGTTAATAATCTATTTAATTAATTTTTTTTTAAAATAATATATCATATATTATTGAGCTATCATCGAGCATAATATCAAGTATTTAAAAAGTTACTTATTGAACAACAAACGAGTTTGTTCGTGAACATAAATGAACAAGTTTGATCATGTTCTTGTTTAGTTCATATTAGCTTCAAGTTTTTTAAAATTGTTCAAGCTTGCTTATTTACTAATTTGACTGAACATGATCGAGTCTTAATTCAACCGAGTTAGAGTACATTTGTTTATTTACAACCCTACAAAGAAGCATTCAGCTCGCTTAAGCTCGGCTCATTTACACCGCTAATAAAGACTTTATAAAATTGAGATTTAAGATAAATTTAAATTAAAAAAAAATATTAAATTCAAGATTTAAAATTTGTCATTTATTCTACTTGACACTAGATGCAAGTTAAATCTCACTTAAAACTATTACCAAATAACTCTTAAGTTGAACTTTCATCTAAAAATAGTGCTAAAATTACTTTTAAAAATTTGACATTTGCAATTGAGAGAATTTATATTGAAATATTTGATTTTATAAATATAAAAATCCTGGAAAAAAAAAATTTCTAGCCAAATCAGCCTAACATCTTTCTTGATATGTTTGCCTGAAGTGCCTCACCTACTAATAAGTCCTAAATCTAGACTTAGGGCAAAATAGAGTGAATAAAAGGGAGAGAAAAGCAAAGAAAGTAAGGATAAAGCAAGTAGAAAGAGAGCCACACAATGTTAGCGAAAAACTCAAGGAGTGCATGCACTTAATTTGGAGTATTTAGGGCCATGAGGGAGAGGGGTGTTGGCAATGTCCATAGAGATTCCATTGATA